ACACAACAAAGTAAAAAATACACAACAAACACGAACAATAACCAAAAAAAAAACAAAACAGCCGTAGGTCTATATTAGGTAGATGGTGGGAGAGTAGTTTGCTGTGATGTCGTACAGGTGTCTGGTGGGAGGTCCTCAGTAGGAATAGTGGAGGTACTAGTGTCGGTCGGTGAGTGATAGTGTTTGTTTTAAAGCAGAAGGTGGGTAGCTGGTCCCGATCGTTGCTAGGTTTTTGCCGTTTCCTCTTCCGGTATTGTGTGGGGGGCAGGAAGGCCGTTGTGGGTGGTGGGGGAAGGGAGAGGCTTTTCTTGCGCTAGGGTTTTTTTTTGTGACACGCAAAGTGCCTATGCGGACTCCCCGCTTCTTCGGCGTGCCCTTTGAATTGTCTGCTTCTCCTTTTTCCTCGCTCGTGCCTTTCCTTGTGAGGGCCATGCACATTGGTGTGTGGATGTATAAATGTATGTCTGTATGTGTATTTGTACGTGTCACGCCATACTTTGCATGCCTGCCCTTTGCGCTCCCCCCCTCCGAGCGAGCTGGCGACGACCAGACCGCCTCACCTGCGTTTTTTTTTCTGATATCTCCTCTCTGCACTGCTAACGCATCTGCGCATGTGCTCCCCTACGTATACATATATTTGTACATACCTAGATATACTTGTGCACCAGTTTCCTTGTGCCGACCAAGTGTGCTCGGCTGCTCCTCCCTAAGGTGCCCGTCTTCTCGGTGGTCTCGCCGTTTGCGCCCTTCATGGCCGTTGCTGTGCGCTGGTTCTCCCCGCTTGGTTGCCTTCACATGTGTGCCTTGTGTGCTGTGTGTCTTTCTGCTTGCTCTGTCTCTTCGCCGCGTCGCCTTGCCAACAACCCTGCATCGCGTCAGGCCGTCGCCACGTCAAGCGGTGTTTCGGCGTCAAGAAGCATGGATTCGAAAGGGCCAAGTATTTGGCGCGGAGCACAAAGATTTTCTTTTTGAAGAATCAGCGAGAGAGGAAGCGGCAGCTTTCCCTATCAGCTGCCCTTGGCGTTGGCGGAGGTACACCGCTAAGCGTCTCGGGGGCACACGACCCCGTAACAGCGCAGGATGATGCAGACGCGACGCTGCAGCTGCAGCAGCAGCTGCAGCAGCAACTGCTGCTGCTGCAGCAAAGGGAGGCAGATGACCGCCTACAGCAGCAGCAGCTGCTGCAGGGGGTCCCTCCGAGGCAGTCGGGCGAGGATGCAGGCGACCAGCAACAGCAGCAGCAGCAGCAACTGCTGCTGCTGCATCAGCATCAGCTGTGGGCACCTCCAGAACTGCTGCGAGCGGCAGCGGGCCTAATGCTCTCCTCACCTCCGCGCACGCCTCTTTCTGCGGATGCGAGCTGCAGCGCAAGGAAAGGGTCCACAACAGCAGCAGCAGCAGCAGCAGCAGCAGGCGGAACGGGTGGCTCTGATGGAACGGCATTGGGTGTCTCAGGGCTCCCTGCCACAACGGCCAATGGCGTTCCTTTAGAGTTGGATGTGCGGCCTTGTCGCAGCAGCAGCAACTGGTGGCGCTCTGGCGTGGCGGCAGCAGCAGCAGCAGCAGCAGCAGCAGCAGGAGCCACAGAAACAGGGAGCGGCATGCGAGGTTCTGCTTTCAAGGGAGCCCCCGAGGTGTTGCGGGAGGAGTATTGGTCGTTGCTCGATGCAATGGATCAAGTGGACTGGGATGCCATCAGCGGCGAGGAGGCTGTTGCTCTTATCAACGAAATCCCCAGAGTCAGGGGTGAGCCACAGCTTGAAAGGAAGCCTATAGATAGATACATGTATGGATGTATATGTATGCACTGGTGGCGCTGCAGTTGCTGCACCTGGAGTGCCTTTTTCCTCGTTTGACACTTTACTGCCTTAGCAAACAAACGGTTTGGGCGTGCACAGCGGGATCGTACAGAGAGGTTGGAGGAACGCGCGGAAGGTGCTCTGGATGCTGGGGTGTTTTCTGTTTATTTTTGTTTTGCTTGTTTCTACAAAGCCCTGTGGGAAGGTGCTGTGACCTAGCAGAGTGTGCTCTGCGCACGCCTTTGCATGGACTTGTGGCAGTTGTCTCACCTGGCGTTTTTGTGTATTTGCAAGCCTCTTTGCGTGTAGGGGTTTGCTTTGACCGCAAGGGTTTGTACTGGATCAGTCAGTGGCACGCGCGGCAAAAGAAACACAGGGAATGGTTTCCCGTGAAGCGGTTAGGGTTTCGAAAGGCGTGGAAGCTGGCCGTGTGCATTCGGAGGGATGCAGAAAAGGTCGAGGAGGAGCCGACTGGCTATCCCATGATACCTGTAAGGGGCTGAGATCAGTTGCTTGCGGCTTCCTGAGGTGTGGGCTTGGCATGCTGGAGGTAGATAGATGTCAATGTTTGCATGCATGTGCACGTGTATGTGCAAAAATGTAGATGTAGCTGCAAGGGTAGAGTTCGCCGTGTGCACCGAATGCAGGGCTGCAGCTATGGGTGCTGTGTGGCTGTGTGCATCAGGACCTTGAGGAGGTGATGGGGGTTACATATCAAAGAAGCGAACGCGGCCGTAGTTGGGTGGCATACTACCTGGAGACAGTTCCAGCAGATTTTGACGGTGCTGCAGGCAGCAGCAACGGCAACGGCACTGGTGCTTTGGGCAGCAGCAGCAGCAGTGGCAAGAACTGCACAGCGGATGATGGAGGCTTTTTTCCGAAGAGCCGGTATAGGGTGGGGGTTCGGCATTTCCCCGTGATTGATCAGGCCTTTGAGGCGGCTCGCCAGAAGGCTGTGGCGCTGGCAAAGGCGCAGCCGCTTCCCACAGCTCTGTTTCAAGTCTTTGAGCGAGACGCTGTGCAGAGGCTTGCTGCTTCAGACGCTGCGGGTGCAGGAGGAGACCGCCTAGCGCCTTCCCCAGTGCCCATTCGGCTGCTCAATACGTTCGCCTCCATGCCACCCTCCACGTCGCACATAATCCAACTCGAGATCATGGAGAGGCGATTGCAGCTGCTGCTTAATGGGGTCAACCCCGCCGTGGCCTGGGCTGTTGCATGCGAGGAACTCGGCAGACAGCAGAGCAGGAGCAGTGCGGTGGCTGCAGCAGCAGCTGCAGCAGCAGCGGCGACTGCTGCAGCTGCTGCTGCAGCAAGAGACGCCACACAAGCGTCCGCAGCAGCTGAGCGGTTGTTCGCACCCGCCGCAGCCACCAGAGATGATTCTACTTCTGGGTATGTGCCCATGCTCATGCGCGTCCGCAGCAGCCTTGCGGTGGCTACAAAGGGTCTCATGGGTGTGGGATGGGGAGGCTGCGCTCTGGCTGCTCCTAGTTTCTGGGTTGGGAGTGCACGTGTATGATTTGCGAGCGTCACGTGGAGCGTGGGTTGTTCGCTGCGGGGTAGGGTGCTTCGGCGGTGCTCGGGCTTCTCGCAGATTTCCCATTTCTGCACCTGGTGTGGCTGCCTGCGGCTCTGCTCTGCAGCACTGGCGTATCACCACGCGCGCGGGGAACGTCGTGGGATAGCTTTGAGCGGCATCTTTGCGTAGGAGCCTCCTTGGAGCCAAGCAATGCGTCACTGTCTTTGACAGCGGCGGCGGGCAGAGGCCACGGGAGCCTATCCGCTGTGGGGGGAACATCGGGGGTAGGCGAGGAGACTGGGGAGAGCTTGTTTGATGCGGAGGATCGAGCAGCAGTAGACGAGCTGATTATGGGTCTGGAGGGCACGGATGATCCAGAACGGCCTGCTGCAAAGCAGCTCCCCAAGATTGGCGGGGTGTACTACAAGCGAGACGGCAACTACAAAGCCTGGGCAGCCAGTTGGCACATCAAGGGCAAGCGGGTCAGGCGGTATTTCACTGTCAAAAAGCATGGATTCAGGTGCGTCGAAGGGGAGCTGCAGGGAGTAATAAGTGAGAGGAGTTTGTGTGCATGCGATTCCGGAGGAAAGAGAAAAGGCGTGTTTTGCGTTTTTTTTTTCTTTTGCGCACTCTCTATGTCTTCTACCCTCCCTCTCTTCCTCACGCGCTCTCAGGTCTCTGCCCGCAGTGTTCGGCGCTTTGGACCGTCGAGTTTTCCTTTGCGGAGGCACGTGCTCGCTGTTTTTTTTTTGGTGCGCTTCAGGAACGCGTATCTGCAGGCTGTGAAGGCCCGCCGCGAGGCGGAGCAGCAGGACGGCATTTGTGTAAAGCAGCGGCAGCACCAGCAGCATCACCTTCAGCCGGAGGATTTCTTCCGCAAGGTTGCCAAACAGCAGCCGCAGCAGCAGCAGCAGAGGGACATGATGCTGCTCCTGCAGCAGCAACAGTCGCAGCAGTACTCGGCTGCACCTCAGACGACCAAGGAAGGCTCCCCAGACACTCCAGAGCCGGAGAGTGTGCTCCCTAAAGGCGAGGGGTGTGCCTCTGCTGCAGCGCCAGCACCAGCGATATCTACGGCCGCAGCAACTCCAACGGGAGCAGCAGCAACAGCTGCAGCTGGTGCGGCGACGTTCGAGCCAGCCTGTTCCTCCGCTTCCACACCGCTGGGGGGTCCAGGAGTTGCGGGAAGCAGCGCGGGGGGCGTCGGTAGCGGAGGCTGCAAGGCCGTCGAGACGCAGCTTCCCAGCAGCTCAAGCTGCAGCAACACTCTTCACAGCAACCGGATCGGCAGCAGCAGCATTGACTGGCGTCTAGCCACGCCTTTGCAGCGGGCAGCATGGGCTCTGGGGTGGCCCGTCGAGGACCTTCAGCTGCTGGTGGAGCAGCAGCTGCAGCAAGAGGGCGAATTGCCGCAGCACGTCGAGTTCGCTTTAACACGCGAGGCCATTCATGCGCTTCTTGCAGACCTCCACGCGTAAGCTTACGCCTTTTTGAAGGCACTCCCAAGCGTGCCAACGGCCGCTTCTTTTGCCGTCGAAAATTCACAGAGTTGGCTAGTGACACGCGTGAACGCTTGCCACAGAGAGGGGGATCCGGGGGCAAGAGGCACCGGCGCACATGAAGAAGACTTTTGCCACCAAATACCTCTCTGAAACTTTCCCTTTAATGCATATACACACGCATTTGCTTTTTTATCAGCCAACATAAATCTGTATGTGGATGTGTGTTTGTGTGTGTTCAGGCACGTAGTTCGCTTGTCAGGCCTTGATGTTTGCTGTCTTCCTACGTCTAACACGTCACTTTGCCATTATCAGCAGAATGCATTGTTGCAATTGTTTGTTGTAGATCGGGTCCTTTTGTTTGTCAGTCGTTGCCGTACTTTGGCCGAGCTCTCTGGTCTTCCCGAACTCTTTGGAGCTTCTTTTGCTTCGTGCCGCCTCCCGTCTCAACTCCCCGTCCCGCACATCAGGCATCTTCTGTTCGCCCTCTGCTCGCCTTCTCTGTCCTGGATTACAGAAGACATGTACCTTCCTGAGCCTCTCCTCCTGAGGGCTCAACATGCGCGTCACGAGCTGGGTCTAGACAGTGATCTTGAGACCGACGCGAGCAGCAGCAGCAGGGAGGCAGTGCCCTTTGCGACAGATAAGGAGCCGCGGGGGTCCGTTAAGGGAGCCTCTTCGCAGCTGCAGCAGCGGAAGTCTGAGGGTCTTGCAGAAGAGGATTTAGGCGCCTTTGGCTCCCCAAAGCCGGAGGAGCACCAGCAAGGAGCTGTCAAGGGGCCTGCTGCTGCACGCTCTACTTCAAGCGTGCTGATGTCTGCGGTGCAACAGTTCCTTGTGGCAACCAGCGAGGGGCAGAAGAAGGGGGCTTCTCCCAGCGCACCGGTGGCAGCTATCAACGGAACGCCTCCCCAGTGGAGCGATCATCAGCAGCTGCAGCAGCAAGACCTCTTGCAGCCTCTGGAAGAGCAAGAAGATGAAGAGGTGGAGGAGCAACACTGGTCGCCTATGGTGGGCCTCGCGGAGGGAGGGGCCCCCGAATCGCCTCTTGGTGAAGGGGGTGATGGGCACTTGGAAGGGTCTCCTCGTGTCGTTGTGGACCCTCCGGAGCCAACGAAGTTGGAAATTGAGGCTCTGCGGAGAGGCAGTGGAGCCTCCATGCGGACAACTTCTTCCGAAGTTGTTGCATACGTAATGGCAAAGGAACGAGCGGGGATCGCTGCTGCCACTGCAGCGGGAGCAGCAGCGTCGGAGTTGCACACGCAGCAACAGCACCACCACTAGAAACAAGCAGGCACCCGTTGACAACGGGAGACCTTCATCAGTGGGGTAATGCCACGTCTCTCGCGAGGCCTTCACGTGTGGTGGCTACTTGCTGCGCAGGGTTGGTAGCAGTGGAAGTCTCACGTGGAGCACAGAGCGGCGCGCAACTGGGCACTATGGCCCCTATGTCGCATCTGTCCTTTGCGAGGCCTCTAAGGGACCCTCTTCTTTCGGAGGGACGGCCCCAACTGTTGGCTGCTCGTTGATGTGTTTGTGTGTTACGTCGTTTGGCTAACTACTGCGAATGGGCAACTAGCTGCTTTGAAGACGTGACACGGAGAGTGCGAGAAGGCCTCTAGCATCGAGTGACCCCCACTTCTCCCAGGGGGCACGCGACGCTAGGGGCTTCTCGCCTGTATGAGTAACTCTCGTGTGCATTGTTTGTATTGCTTTGACTGTGATGGGGGTGGTGTGCCGCCCTGCGAACTTCACCAGCTAGCTGGATACCAAGCTGCCCAGTTTGTTCGCGTGCTGACGTTGAACGTAGAGGCAGAGCAATACCGAGGTAGAGGGCAGCTTTTTCAAGAGAAGTGAACGCCCCGATGGCGTCTGCAGGAGTGCGTACAAGGGCGCTCGAATCAGTGTATGACTACGAATGTTCTTTATCGTATGGATCCAGTTAGCTGGAGATTTGCGTCTAATCGTGCAAAAGGAGACCCCTCCTTGCTTTATAGGTCTACTACCACTACTAGGCCCAACGAGCATAGTCCGCTAAAAAGGGCGTCCAAAGCTACCCAACGAAGTGCATCCTCAGAGACTACCGAGAAAACAGATTTACAAACTGCCGCGTGCTGGACTGCCTCTAAGCCTGTCTGTGGCACAGGCCCTGGAGAATGCAGATCGGCATGGATCGGGCAAAAAGGCCTCCCGGTGCCCCTTTTCTTCGTCCCTGACTAGCAGTCCCCGCTTCACGGATTTGGAGATGGTAAGCGCAGAACTACCGGCCGAGTCGCCTTCTGAAGGCAACAGCCGCAAGCCTCTGGAGTGCGAATTGCTGTTTGGTGAAAATGCAACAGCAGAGGGTTTTTGGAAGCGGGGCAGCGATGCAGTCTGCTTTCTCTCCGCTATGTCTCTAGGAGCAAGGGGGTTGTGAGGGTTGGGCCTTACTGCACAGAGGAGCACAAACTTGTTGTTGGGGGCTATGAGCAAATGCTCGATCGGCTGCACCGTGATGTGCTCGACGATCTGCGCAAAGCATACCGCACGACCAACAACTAGAGCCTTCGAAACTTCAGTGCTAGATTCTCAATGGCAGCAGGTGCCCTGCAGTCAGCGGACTGGGGATTCCTCACCGCTAAACAAGCGAAAGCAAGAAACACGCTAAGCCACGAGCCGTGCAGGGTACGCTCGCAGTTACCTTGTACACCTCCAAATCGGCACTCCGCAAAAAGTAAAGCGTCTTCCCAGTTGCAACGACCAAGACAGATCCATCACGCGAAAAGTCTGCAAGGGGCGCAACAAAGCCAGCACCACTTGTCAGTCCCACACCCACTTAACTGCGCAGACGCATCGTATCACCTGGGGGAAAGACAGAGGAGGCCGCTCTCTCTGCTCGTGCTAAAGTTGAATCTGAATACGGCGCGGGCCAAAGCAATTCAGAGGCGTACGATGGCGGCAGTTTCAACAGAAGCGAATGAACTGCCACGCTGTATGGCGCTAAAAGGGTTCGCTCGCGTACGGAGAGTAGTGAGCCCATTTGGATCCAGCTGCAAAGCCGTCTCGCAGATCTTCTTCGGATCCTCTTGAGCCTGAAACGTATTACTGCCAAAGCCTAGCGCTACGCCTGAGCCCTCCCCCTCCCTCTGAAACTCTTTCTATTCCCCCTGCCCGCCTTGGCGCTTTTAGGCTTCGTGTCTCTGGGTGTGTCGTCGTGTCTCTTTCCTGCCCGCCCCTTCCAGCGCAAGCATGCATGTAGGCCTGTGCGGCGATCTATCTCCAGCAGCGCGGCTGCTGCTGCTCAGGCAGACGGCGTCTCCGTACTTGATGCCGAACGTTAATTCGCCAAGAGCTCAGACACCCGCCTTTGTCTACAACAGCCGCCATTGTTCGGTCCAAAGAAATGCCAAAGGCAAGCAGACCACAATCGCTGCGAATATCCATGGCTTTTTCCACCTGCAAGCAGCGAAAAGGGGGGAAGTGCCTCTCGACGGGTTCACGCGCAGCTGACCCTCAGAAAAAGGGAGGCGGCCATGTAACGACGGCTCGATAAGCTGCAGCTGCCAGTCTCTGCTCCCTTGATCTCAAGGCACGCACTTTTTGGAAGTTCCCGCCTTTGGTTTTGACCTCAAAAATTTTTACTCCAGGTGTCCATGCGGCGCATCCGAAGAAGCTGAAGCCAAGAGAAAACTCCCAGACTCGCCGCGCGTGGGGGAGGAGAGGGGGATTTCAGGGAAAGAGGAGACACGGGGGAGCCGCATATAAAGTGTAAGCGGGCACTTAAGTGCTTTTGCCGCGGGTAAGAGGTCAAGGGTGCGGTGGTTTAGTAAAGATACAGCAGGCACTCATCGCAGAGAAAGATAAAGAGCACTAGCTGCATAACTCCCGAGTCAGCCAGCGAAAAGTACCCCCGCCCTTTTGTGCTGGCAAGTACCGCGCCCTCTATGCAGCAGCTAGCTGCTTCTCTATGGAGTGTCCAATACGGCGCTTTTGCTGCATTCGTCTACAGGACCCCACAGCGGGGGTGCAGCTAGCTGCGCTGAACACCACATGCTCGCCGTGGCTCGCTGAGTACACCGATATACGTGAGCAGCAGCGTCGCACATCTCACCAGCCATCGCCACTAACGGCGAGTTGCAGGTTGCGGACCTGCTTGGTGTCAACGCAGGTGAGTAAGTCACCCTCATAGGAATGAATCCTCAACTGAGCAAACATCGGGCAGAGAGAAGGAGGCGGCGGAAAAAAACAGGCGTGGAGCATCTAGTCGAGGCGCAGAGCAGAGACAGTGTATGCCCCACAACGCAAGGGACCTTAGGGGGGCAGAGAGACTGCACGGCTGCCTGCCGCAAGAGCGAAGGCGAAAGGCGCCGCTGGACGTCTCCCACTTCCGTGTCATCCCCTTCTGATCGCGTAACAACCCAAGGAGCCCTTGAGGCAACGAGTTCTGCAACAACTCCTCTCTGGAGGGGGTCCTTGCTGCGGCGAATCTGCATACCCACAAGAGGAGCACCAACGGCAAAGGCAGCAGCAAGAATACAGAAGAAAGACGCGTGGCGGGAAGGGCTGAAGGGGCACATCGCGACAAAGGGAAGGCACTGAAGCGAAACAGAGAGAAAAGCCGAGCAGCAGAGACGCGCAGAAAAAGCCACGGAGGCAGGCCCTCATCTGAGCAGCAAACCATCTCCCATCTAACCAGTCGCTCTCTCTCTTTCTGCTCAACAAGACACGCTAAAAGAGCAAGTATACGGCTGAGACAAAGCTCTGGCGCAGGTAGCGTAGCGGCTCCTAGAGAGGAAGAAAGATAGAGGCCTCTGTAGCCCACCTCCCTGATCGCATCAATTTTTCGTCCCTCAATTTTGATTTCGAAGCACACCATTCTTCCTTCCGTCGCTGCGGACAGAGCGCCGCAAAAATACTCAAACTTCAGGTGTATAGGGACCTGCAAGAAGAGTTGCTTGAGGCGTGTTTCACGTTTCCTACGCGTGCGCTAACCACCCCGCAAAGAGACTTATCAACCCCTCTCATGCATGCGTAAGCCTCTGACTGGCCCCGTGGATAGACGTCCTACCCATGGCTCCGCAAAGATACGCGGCAGCTTCGCTCTGCCTGTCTTTGCACCAGAAGTCAAGGGCGGAGAAGGCGTCCTCTCTGAAGTTGTAAAAGTAGGTGCTGTTGCCGTCGAGAGCGACGTGCAGCTTTCCATCGGATGTAGTTGTGGCTACTAACGCTGACGGAGAAGGAACATTCATAGCGCAGACAGAAGAGAAGAAAAATCGGCGGAGCAGACGCCTTTAGCTCCTGTTTTGGCTCTGCATGCAGTCTTTTGCCGCCTTTCCCACTACGTACTGGGCGCGGGCAGACAAGGCCACAGGATATGCGATGAAGAAGGAGAAATGGAAAAAGAATGAGAACAAAAAAATGCGAAAAAAAGGCCGGAGTGGTAGAAGGGCACATACACACACACATGTACATACACACACACACACATATATATATATATATATATATATATATATATACACGCATACATATACACACACACAAAACAGGAAGAGTGTTGTGTAGGTAAAGAGCATAGATATCGGTGGTGCCAGGATAAATAAAAAAAAAAAGACAGAATCACCATCGACAAGGTCACACCGTTTGACAATCTAACTATAC